TCATTAGTTTTTTTGTTATGCCTGTTTATTATTATTTTATTAATGTTGGTTTTATTATTGTAAATTTAAAAAGAGTAACAAGGGCAACGATTTAAAAAATATGTTTTGTAAAGACAGAATTACTTTCGTATATTACAAAACATGATTTGTCCCTTACAAACTTGGTTTTGTATGACAGAACAGGTAGTGTGTCCTTTGGTACACAAGTCCTTTTGTCGACAAAACAGCATTCTGTGGCAACAAAATTATTTTGTCTCAGAAAAAGTTATTTTGTCAACAAAATAGCATTTTGTGGTGACAAATTAAATTCTGTCTTACAAAAGTATCACTTTGTCATCAAAATAGAATTTTGTGGTAACAAAATAAATTTTGTCGAGACAAAATGGTATTTTGCCAACAAAATAGCAAATGTCCCAAACGGCGCCCCGTACAGTATGCGTCTATTTCATATGAACAGACACCATTTGTGTGCACATCATCATCATCATCATCATCCACTTCCATCATTATTAAACATCCATCAATCATCTATCAATCGTCCATTATTCATCATTATAAATCCATTGATTGATTGATTGATTGTCATCATGTCGTAACTGCATTCCAGTCCTTAAACTTTCATTCTCTCTTATATTCTGGTATTTACTTGTCCATCCATATGTCTATCCGGTTTCCCCATCATTGTAATTAACTCCTGTCATTGTTATTTTTTTATTTATTTTTTATTTTTTTCGTTTTTTAGCATCAAGTCCGTGTAATTCAAATCCATGTCAAAATGGCGGAATGTGCACCACACCTACTACTACAACTTATATGTGTATGTGCTCTGGAAGTTTCTCTGGCACAAACTGTGAAACATCAAGTAAGAAGAAATAACTGAAACTTGTGGATTTTAAGTAAGACAACAACAACAGTAGCAAATAGAAACCTAAAATTTAAGAAAATATTTTGTTTCCTTCGGAGGCTAAAAGCAATAAAATGTTTGTGAGGATTTTGAATGTAATACTGTTTGCTTCTATGAGGATCAGGTACTTAATCATCTTTAAAAATTATTGTTGAGTAGTAAAGTAAGGAAGCCACTGTAATATTTTATATCATTTTCTATTATCTAGGAACAACATCAACTCCTTGTGACAGCAATCCTTGCCCTGCTGGACAAGAGTGCTTTTTCTCGCTAACTATGTACATTTGTCAAACAGGTACATATAAGTATTTCATTAACAGGAATCAGCACTAATGATACACAGTAAATATATTTTTTTATAACACTGTCAAATCAAGTATAATATAAAATCATGATTATTTTTTACTTGTGTACCATTTGTGTACCTTGTGACAGCAATCCTTGCCCTGCTGGACAAGAGTGCTTTTTCACGACAACTATGTACATTTGTCAACCAGGTACATGTAAATTCATTTAATAGTTTTATTTTCCATGGTATTTCATTAACAGAAATCAGCACTAATGATACAAAGTATAATATATTTTTTTATAACACTGTCAAATCAAGTATAATATATAATCATTTACTTGTGTACCACTTTTCATTTGCAGCCACCGGAAGAAGACGACGAGATGTTGAAGGTAAACAGCTTGTGTATTTTCAGCTATTCCAGTTTGTAGAGTACATACTGTAGTTGGGCAATTATTTCCTGACCAACATGCCTCTGGACCATGAACATTTAAATTTTAGTTGCTGAAAAGTTATTAAATTAATATTAACTTTATTAAGTAATACATATATGCAATTACACTAACACAATATATCATTAAAAAGAAAACGTTATTTACCATAAAGTAAGATTTTTTTTAAAGGAATGATGTTTTCCTCTACCTGATGTGTGCTCAGTATGTTCTCAAATTAAGTAGCGTTGTGTCTTAACCACTAGAGCCGATTAGAGCCATTGTACGCAGTGGCTAGTGTTGAATCCGATCCTCAATGCGGAATTGAATAATTCTGTAACTAAAGCCTGTAAACAAAATATTGCAAAAGGCTATAGCTAAACAGTGAAAAATCTGGTAAATGTATAAAGATTGGGTAATGAAAAAGGAGACAGTATGCCGACTGAATGGGATGGCTTATAAATATTTAATTACAGTTAATGTAAACATTAATACTGTTGTTTAGATTTTGCTATTATTTCTGAAATATTTAGATGCCTTTTTGTTTTGCAGTTCACCCTGTACGAAGATCTGTGGCAAGTAACGTATCTCAAATTTGTCTTTCTAATAAATAAATTAATACAATTTTAGCTTTGTCTAAGGCCTAGTTCAGACAGACTTGGTGCTCAACTCACCGGTTTTATCCACCAGCCATTCTGAACAAGGTGGCTTATCTCAAGCCGGGCTGTGTTCTTATAGTAACTAGGCCTGGCTCGCCACCGTGTTTAACTTTTCTAAGCCGGGCTTTAATCGTTGTGGGGAGGGGGCGGTGGGTCTTGCATTTACTTCGGGTGACAAAATGACCAATCAGCATTAAATTACGTACGCTGTGAGCGAGCGTACGTTTCGTGGGCAATGCTTTGAAACACATTACGGTTCATTATTATGCAAATTCTCGCCTGGCTAACCCCGCTAGTCTGAACGCCCGGCAAAGTTAAGCTATCTCCAAGTCTGAACTAGGCCTTTAATTTTTTCAAGATTTCCATTTGTTTATCTACGCATAATTATGAAATATTGTAGTTAAAATGAGGTGTGTCTCCTCCTGCTGTTCTGTCACTTTTCTTTTCTTATTCCTCATCTTATTAATTCTTGTTTTCATCTTCATCTCTGTCGTTACTGCTGCCAACTTTGTTTTAACTAAACAAACTAAATCATGGTATAAATTCCTTGTTTTCGTTCCTATTAAAATTGTTTTTCAGCTGAAACGTGTGCAGATGACCCATGTCTAAATGGAGGTGTGTGTTTTCAGGTGGATTCGTGTGAAAACTATGTGTGTGCATGTGTCGGTCGCTATACTGGTATCAATTGTGAAACAGGTAAGTTATTATAAAGGAGCATTTTACTTACTACTATGTCATATACAAAAGAGTTTGTTTACTTTGGCAGTTCTTTTTAATCAATCTCAAAAAGATGCTGCCTCCGACAGTCCCACACCCACACAGCTTCTAATCACTCTATGAATAATACTAATTAACCTGTTTACCAATAAATTATATAACAATATAATCTATATAGCAATTAACAGTTCCACCATGCATGATTGTTATTCTGCAGTCTCATTCAGAGCCTAGCACCTGACGATTGAGGAAGTACCTCATGAAACAGCCTGTAGTGCAATAAAATGTTGAATTTGTAACCAAGTGTCATTTTGTTTTGATTTTATATTGCTCTGCTTATG